CCCCATCCGGGTTTCCTGCTGTGCCGCGCGCCTGTACATTCGAACTTGGCGCGTGCGCCCAGCCTGCCACCTTCCTCCTGACCGTTACACTGCTCCTGTCACTGCTTCCCCCTTCGGGGAGGCTAGCTGCACCTGACTCTCCCTCCGTTCCCTCACTCTGCGATGGAGGCGTGGCCACCCCTGACTCATGCTCTCTCCCTGCTGGAGGAGAAGCTGGCCCTGATACATGTGACTCTTCCCCCTCACTACGCTCTGGTGGAGGAGCTGGTCCTGCTCTCCCGCTGCTGCTTTGGGAGTCCCCGCTGGCCCCTTGCTTCTGGTGTGTCCCCCCTGGGGACCCCCCTTGCCCTGGCCATCGGCGCCCCCCTCTGGGAATCTTCTGATTCGCTGGAGAGACTCATGGAATCTCTCGGGCCACTTTCATACTCCCCTATGCTGCCCTCAGATTCTTCCCCTTCGCTCTCCATCCCCTCTCTCCCCTGTGTCTCTGCTCCTGAGCCCCTGACACATACGTTGGTACTTTGGTTACAAACTTAATCCACTCCCGAAGTCCGTTCTTAAAACAAAGCGTTCTTAAACCAAGGCGTGTTTTCCCATAGCAGTGGGGGACTCAATTTAAAAAATGGAACACACTCAACAGGAAGCGAAACATTGTTCTGCTCCCAAGGCAAAGTTCACAAAGCGAAAACACCTACTTATGGGTTTTGGCAGCGTTCTTAATCCAAGTTGTTCATAAACTAAGCTGTTCGTGAAACCAAGGTACCACTGTACTCCACAATGAAGCACACTCCCACACCCCCAATTTAAGTTTTACTCAAAAGCAAATCTGAGTTCAGCTCCCCGTTACAGTGGTACCTCAGGTTACAGATGCTTCAGGTTACAGACGCTTCAGGTTACAGACTCCTCTAACCCAGAAACAGTACCTCGGGTTAAGAACTTTGCTTCAGGATGAGAACAGAAATCGTTTGGCGGCAGTGCAGCAGCAGGAGGCCCCATTAGCTAAAGTGGTACCTCAGGTTAAGAACAGTTTCAGGTTAAGAACGGACCTCCAGAACGAATTAAGTTCTTAACCTGAGGTACCACTATATACCAATAAAGTGTTTTGAGCACACAAGAAATGTGTATATGTTATTGAGTAGGATTGTGTCAACCTTTCCCATCCACCAGCAAATTTGTAGCTGGTTTCCAGACCAGAACAGTAAAAACTTATTGGTAAGTATACAGTTTTGCAAATATCTGGGAGACCACAATAGTTCAAGTATTTTATTATTGCAACTGCAGACATATATTTATATAAGAATATATGCAAACACTGTTAAAGACTTCTTTTTTGGCGAGAATTATGAAGAAATTTATCAAACAAGCATATGCTGAATATCTGCCGCCATGTGGGAATAATTCTTAGCATAATTTAATACAAAGTGTTTCATTCTCTGAAGCTATTATAGCAGACATGTCTGTAATGGTCCTTGCACATTATGAAATTCTATGATTCTATGAACAATATACTATCTAAGCATAGCACACAGGGAAATCCTGCCACCTCAGCTAATCTTAATCTACAGCTCCCAGTCTAAAATAATCTCTTTAGCAGGTACATCTTTAAAAAATCTGGCTTAATCAACGGTGCAAAGATGGATGCAATTCAATCCAACAAGATTTAGCCAATGTAAACATCCTGACTGACACGAAAAGCAACATAAAAAAGAAAAAGTGATGAAATATACGTACAGTATACTGAATTCTTCAGCAGGCTGCTAGGGTTTAAAGTGCTCATAACAGTTTCAATGGGCTTAAATAAAAATGGATTTTGCACCAGGGCTGGTGCTCTCACACTAAAGATGTTTGCAGCAAGTGTGCTGAGTTGAAAGTGTGTGCAAAGTAGCTGGAAAGTGCATACTGACTTTGCAGGTTAATATGCACAGTCAGCAGTTATGATCACATTCCCAACAGCAAACACACACACACACACACACACACACACAAATGAGAAACATCAGCAGCTCTTAGTAGTAGCTTGCATGTGTGTCTGAAGGCCACATTGGAAATACATCACTAGAACTAGATGGAAGAGGTTGCCACTAATTTGCATGTCATTAGCAGTATCTGCATAGCATCTTCCTGAGTCTGACAAATGCCAAACTGTAGAAGCAGCAGGATTGCTGGTAATGGTGAAGAACCTGTGGCATCTCTGCACTAGCCCAACAGAGATGTTTTGGTAGGCAGATACCAAAGATGTATGAATCAACATACATTGAATCTGTGCTTTTGCCATCACATACTCAAGCATCTCTCTGCATTTCAATTAATGTTTTGTTTTTAATTTAAAAGCTAGAATACTTGGACTCAAGAAAATTCATGAGAGCTAAATATAAGTGCTTTGTGAACTGTGAGCAGCCCACTCCCCAGCCTAGTCCCCAAAAAGTGACTTTCTCGTACCTTTGTTTTGAATAACCATTAGTGGTAAATTAGAAAAAATTATTCCTTAACCTCAAATTGTTAAGTAAAACGTTCCTAACATCATTTTTTTTTTATTATCTACAGTTTAGTGTCAGCCAGCGCACAGTTCAAACTGTCTATGTTTTAAAATGTGTTAATAATAAACATCGAGACGCACTATTAAAACATATAAACATGCTAACAATACATTTCATCTTCTCGCAATAAGTAGATTAAGGCTGCAATCCTACACTCACCTACCAGGGAGTAAATCCCAGTTGGCTTACTTCCAGATAACTGTGTCTAGGATGGTGCTGTGTGGCTGCCATCCTAGACACTTTTATCGGGAAGTATGTCTCACTGAACTCATCGGGGGGGGGGGGTTCTCCAGCCAATTGGGATTTTTCTTGGTGTTTCCTTTTCAGTTACGTGCACACAAATAACGAACTTCAGTCCAACATGAGTTTTGACTTTTTGTGTACAGGTTCCCACACATAACAACCTGAAGCTATTGATGTTCATAAGAAAGGTGCTGGTCTGATTTGAACTGCAATTCTAACACCTGCTCTACACAACTACAGGTCGGGATGGCCCACCCGTGAGGCAAGGTGAAGCAGCCACCTCGGGCAGCAGGATCCACTGGGGGAGCAGATTCTGATGTGGATCTTTCCTCCCACCTTCCTTGTTCCTGATGTAGATCTTCCCTCAACCCTTCTTCCCTGGCGGGGAGGGGAGTGGTATTTTGGGGTCTGCCTCAGGAGCCAAAATGTCTTGAGATGGCCCTGACTATAGGTGAAGACAGATGTAACATTTAAAAAGAAAACTCAATCATAGTGTGAGCTTGGCTTCTTCTCAGCTTTGCAGTTGAATGACTCATACACATGCCAGTTCAGCTGCCATGCTTCAGGCTGCCCTTTTCTGTTTTTAAAAGGGCAAGATACAAGCTTATATATGTCCATTGCTAGTCTTAGTCATTTTTTTAAAGCAGAATTTTTTACAAGCGCAAAATTGCTCCAGATTTTGGAGGTGGGCTTTTGGGGGCCATCATAAGTTCCGCCATTCAGTGCTAACCATAAGCTGGTCTCTGTTGCAAACGCAGAACCGCCTTTCTTCAATATATGAGTCTTTTTTGAAAAATATCGATTTAGATTAAAAACAGTAACATTTCCTAATTGATCCTAATTGATTTTCTACTATCTCTAATAATGTTATGTCTGTCTTCACTTAATGTTTTGTTCTCTATAAAAACAGCCTGGGAGGGGAACCCCACATACCATGTATGATTAAATATAACCCTAAAAAGGGGGAAAGTACAGTTAACACCCAGAAAGCGACCCACTTCTCCAGCAATGTCGCCCAACCGCAGCACAGAGAGTTTTCACAGGGTTTCAGTTCCCGGAGCTTTGGTAGAGGTATTTGCTTGTTAAGTTTACATTCCTTGGTATTGCATTTTGTTCCATTTCTTAGCCAGTGCTGGGGGGGAAACAAAAGGTTTCAAGGGCCACTTTATGCAAGACAGGCTCTGGCTCTGCGAACAGGGTGGGTTGTGAAGGAAAAATCGGCAGTTTTATACAGGAGGCAGTGGTGCAGGTCGAGAAGGGTAAATTGGTTCCTGAGTTTTTGCAGTCTTCAGCACAGGGGGTGGAGGCCTGCAACAAAGGATGAAGGGTCAAATGTCAGCCTGTTTGTTGACTTATCTGCCTTTTCATCAATTCTGTTTGAATCGGCCTTCCCCAAATTGGTGCCCTCCAGCCAGTGCTGGCTGGGGCTGATAGGAGTTGTAGTCCAAAGCATCCAAAGGACCCCAGGTTGTGGGAGGCTGGTTTAAATAAATATGCATGAAACATGTTCCCAGCATTCATTTTTCCCAAGTGCTGATTCAGGGATGGGAGAACTGTGTTTCTCCATAGGTTTGTGGACTACAGGAGTGTATGAGGTGTTAGGGGAGGTGTAGAACCTCTGGTCCCCTTCATGGATCACTGCCTTGTTGTGGCAAAGGGGCTTGAATAACTCCAAGAAGCTGTGAGCCATGCCGTGCAGGGCCACCCAAGACGGACAGATCATAGCCGAGAGTTTAGACTAAATGTGATCCACCTGGAGAAGGAACTGGCAATCCACTCCAGTATTTTGCCAAGAAAACTCCGTGGACATAAAAAAGGAGAAGCTTTGAGAAGAAAGTAAGAGTTTCCAAGGCATGCTCTGGTTCATGGGGTCATGGAGAGTCGAACACAACTAAGACGACTAAACAACAAAAGAACCTCTGGTGAGAGACACGTCATGCTCCTTCTAGGGTAGTTTGTCCACCTTTGACCCCACTCAGCTCTCACCTGTGGCTCCTAGAAACTGTCAGCATGTGACAGCAGCCACCCCCCTGGGAAACAGCTTCAATTGGCCAGCTAAACCAGGTGAGGGTAGCCAGTGGGTCTCAAACCTTTGGTGAGTTAGGGTCTT